GTAAAGTAGTTCCTAAAAAATAGCAATATGTCTAAGTTAAATGAGCAACTGATATTATCTATATTATAGCAAATGTCTCGTAAACCAAAACTGAAAGAGTGTATTACGCATGTTTTGTGTAAGTGGCTTGCCGTTGATATAAATAAGATGGTAGGTTTATTTTTTGTAATAAATGTATGGCAAACAAAGAAATCATCAATTAATTTTACTTCCGTTGCAGTTGACCCCAATGCGTATTTTATCAAATTTGACTTTTTTGCGTGTCACAGACGAAATTTTCGGCCTTTCAGAATGCTTACCCCAGTAATTTTTTATCCTCACGTTGTAGTACTATCCAATAGCTATTCGTTAGGGCAGCGTCTATAATCCCTAGCCATAAAGAACAACCTAGACAATGGGTCGGAAAGTGGGTGTCCCCAACGCGTATTGTATCAAATTTGGCTTTATTTCTATGTTTCGAGCGAAATTTCGGCCTTTAAGAATGCTTACCCCAGAAATTCTTTACCCTCCCACTGTAGAACTATCCAATAGCTATTTATTGGAGCAGAGTCTATAATCCCTAGCCATACAGAACTGCCGAGGCAATATGTTGGAAAGTGCCCAATGCGTATTTTATCTAATTTGACTTTTTTCCGTGTTACGGACGAAATTTTCGGCCTTTCAGAATGCTTACCCCAGAAATTCTTTAACTTCCCGCTGTAGTCCTATTAAATAGCTATTTATACGGGCAGAGTCTATAATCCCTAGCCATATAGAACTGACGAGGCAATGTGTTGGAAAGTGAATGACCCCAATGCGTATTTTATCAAATTTGACTTTTTTCCGTGTTACGGACGAAATTTTCGGCCTTTCAGAATGCTTACCGTAGAAATTCTTTATCTCACGTTGTAGTACTATCTAATAGCTATTCATTAGGACAGCGTCTACAATCCCTAGCCATAAAGAACTACCGAGACAATGGGTCGGAAAGTGGGTGTCCCCAATGCGTATTTTATCGAATTTGGCTTTATTTCCATGTTTCTGACAAACTTTTTGGCCTTTAAGAATGCTTACCCCAGAAATTCTTTAACTTCCCGCTGTAGTACTATCCAATATCTATTTATACGGGAAGAGTCTATAATCCCTAGCCATATAGAACTGCCGAGGCAATGTGTTGGAAAGTGAATGACCCCAATGCGTATTTTATCAAATTTGACTTTTTTCCGTATTACGGACGAAATTTTCGGCCTTTAAAAATGCTTACCCCAGAAACTCTTTTACCTCTCGCTGTAGTACTATCCAATAGCTATTTATACGGACAGAGTCTATAATCCCTAGCCTTACAGAACTGCCGAGGCAATAGGTTGGAAAGTGCCCAATGCGTATTTTATCAAATTTGCCTTTTTTTCGTGTTACGGACGAAATTTTCGGCCTTTAAAAATGCTTACCCCAAAAATTCTTTATCCTCCCGCTGTAGTACTATCCAATAGCTATTCGTTAGGGCAGCGTCTATAATCCCTAGCCATAAAGAACAACCTAGACAATGGGTCGGAAAGTGTGTGTCCCCAACGCGTATTTTATCGAATTTGGCTTTATTTCTATGTTTCGAGCGAAATTTTCGGCCTTTAAGAATGCTTACCCAAGAAATTCTTTAACCTCCCGCTGTAGTACTATCCAATAGCTATTTGTTAGGGCAGCGTCTATAATCCCTAGCCATAAAGAACTACCGAGACAATGGGTCGGAAAGTGGGTGTCCCCAACGCGTATTTTATCGAATTTGTCTTTATTTCTATGTTTCGAGCGAAATTTTCGGCCTTTAAGAATGCTTACCCCAGATATTCTTTACCCTCCCGCTTTAGTACTATCCAATAGCTATTTATTGGAGCAGAGTCTATAATCCCTAGCCATAAAGAACTACCGAGACAATGGGTCGGAAAGTGGGTGTCCCCAATGCGTATTTTATCGAATTTGGCTTTATTTCCATGTTTCTGACAAACTTTTTGGCCTTTAAGAATGCTTACCCCAGAAATTCTTTAACTTCCCGCTGTAGTACTATCCAATATCTATTTATACGGGAAGAGTCTATAATCCCTAGCCATATAGAACTGCCGAGGCAATGTGTTGGAAAGTGAATGACCCCAATGCGTATTTTATCAAATTTGACTTTTTTCCGTATTACGGACGAAATTTTCGGCCTTTAAAAATGCTTACCCCAGAAACTCTTTTACCTCTCGCTGTAGTACTATCCAATAGCTATTTATACGGACAGAGTCTATAATCCCTAGCCTTACAGAACTGCCGAGGCAATAGGTTGGAAAGTGCCCAATGCGTATTTTATCAAATTTGCCTTTTTTTCGTGTTACGGACGAAATTTTCGGCCTTTAAAAATGCTTACCCCAAAAATTCTTTATCCTCCCGCTGTAGTACTATCCAATAGCTATTCGTTAGGGCAGCGTCTATAATCCCTAGCCATAAAGAACAACCTAGACAATGGGTCGGAAAGTGTGTGTCCCCAACGCGTATTTTATCGAATTTGGCTTTATTTCTATGTTTCGAGCGAAATTTTCGGCCTTTAAGAATGCTTACCCAAGAAATTCTTTAACCTCCCGCTGTAGTACTATCCAATAGCTATTTGTTAGGGCAGCGTCTATAATCCCTAGCCATAAAGAACTACCGAGACAATGGGTCGGAAAGTGGGTGTCCCCAACGCGTATTTTATCGAATTTGTCTTTATTTCTATGTTTCGAGCGAAATTTTCGGCCTTTAAGAATGCTTACCCCAGATATTCTTTACCCTCCCGCTTTAGTACTATCCAATAGCTATTTATTGGAGCAGAGTCTATAATCCCTAGCCATACAGAACTGCCGAGGCAATAGGTTGGAAAGTGCCCAATGCGTATTTTATCAAATTTGACTTTTTTCCGTGTTACGGACGAAATTTTCGGCCTTTCAGAATGCTGACCCCAGAAATTCTTTATCGTCCTGCTGTAGTACTATCCAATAGCTATTTATTAGAGCAGAGTCTATAATCCCTAGCCATATAGAACTGCCGAGGCAATAGGTTGGAAGATGGGCGGCCCAGTTTCAAATAGAAGTTTTTAAGTCGGTATGCCATGAAACATTTATTTTACTTCAAAATTCTTTATATTTAGTCGTTAATATGAGTTTTGAAAAAATTGCAAATGTTGATTTAACATGCGTAAATACGAATCACATCCTGGACTTACCAGATAATACTTAATTTGAATCGTTATAATGATTTTTTTTATTGTAAATGCTTATTACAAAACCGTAAATATGAGTTAGAAATCTACAAAACTAAAGTTAAAATTTTGTTAATCGGATATACAAATCTTTTATTTTCTATATTAATCTTGTTTTCGAACAAAAAGTCAAAAACTATGATTTTAAAGAAAAATAAAATTGTCGCTCAAGTAGTTTTCCAAACGCAATTGCAGGATGACTAATTGCAGGATAGCTTTTTATAAAGAGAATTGCAGGATGAGAATTGCTGGATAGCTTGACACTAGTAAACTTTAGGGCGTTGGAAATCTGACTGTTACACTCCGTTATATCAGAACATCTGAAGTTGACATTCGTCAAGCTCTGTTGAAAATGTGCAAATAATTACGATTCTTTAGTTTAAATCAAATATTACAAAATGTAGTACAATTTTGTTCTTTACTTCGTATGAAACATTTAATGATTCATTACTATTTTTTGTATTTTTTTAGATTATCAATTTCTGCTTATTTTTGTAAAGTTGCTCTAATTAGTCGAAAACATGTAAATAAGTAACAAAAATTCAATTTGGCACAACCACTCTCTCGGAATAATTTTAAGGGATACTCAATGCGTTACAAGGGCAGCATGTGTAGCATTTCGTTTGGGCAATGTAATAATGGATTTCATCCATTCTTTACTTACATCTACACTCTGTCGTATAGTGCAAGTGCCGCGATAGATGCTCGAATAATGTGAATTTAATTGAGATATGTATTTTATTTTTTATTTTTTATTTTTAAATACATATCAATTGCTAGCATATTGCCCGTAATGCCAATTTCATATTTTTATATTTTTTATTAGGTCTTTCCACTTTTCTGTGGAATGACCTATTGTATTTGTTCTGATTATTATTATTATTATTATTATTAGGTCTTTCCACTTTTCGGTGGAAAGACCTATTGTATTTGTTCTGATTATTAGGTCTTTCCACTTTTCTGTGGAAAGACCTATTGTATTTGTTCTGATTATTATTATTATTAGGTCTTTCCACTTTTCTGTGGAAAGACCTATTGTATTTGTTCTGATTATTATTATTAGGTCTTTCCACTTTTCTGTGGAAAGACCTTTTGTATTTGTTCTGATTATTAGGTCTTTCCACTTTTCTGTGGAAAGACCTATTGTATTTGTTCTGATTATTAGGTCTTTCCACTTTTCTGTGGAAAGACCTATTGTATTTGTTCTGATTATTATTATTATTATTATTTTTTTTTTTTCTTCCGCCAAATTTTGTTCTTGCGATAAATGTTTGTTTTGCAATATGTCGCTTAGATATTTCTCATATTGTATCGTATAGTTTATGCGCTTTTAAATTTCACCCTGCTAAGCCGAACCATTTTCTTTGTAAGAGTTATCTCCCTATTCACTGTTTATCATCTGTGTGCATCTCCTTCGTAACAAAAAAAGATATCGACAAAATTCTTTTTACAAATTGTTCGTTACATCCTCAGGAATTTTTGGCTAATTTGGATCGAAGCGATTCGATGAAATTTTATAGGAGTTATCTACCTTTATCAAATAAATTTGTCGTTATGTTTTTGTTACTCATAAACTGTAAGCCGTATAAACCTATAGTCTTTTTATTTAAGGTCCTTGGATCATAACTTCGAAAATGAGGTCAAGGTCAAAGGTCAAGGTCATGTTCTGAATTTTGTCTTTTGCTTGTTTTTGCATTTTCTCCGATATTTTTAATGTTATATATTAAAGAACAAGTGCAAAATGTTTGTTATATTGTGATGAAGATATGATACATTTGGTCTGAGACAATCCAGCGACATCTTATTGGAGTTATTGCCCCTGAAATGTTTTATTTTAAGGTAAATTGATTATTACTTCATATTGGTACATGATAAAGCCATAAGATCTTTTGCAAAATGTTGGGTGACCTATGACCTTGAAAAATGTCAACCGGAAGTGACCTTGAGTGAACCGGAAGTAGTAATTTTTGCACTTATTTCATGTAGAAGTACATAGAAACCATATATTTTTTGAATGGTCATACATTAATCTATCATTTGAGACCGGAAGTGATATTTTATAAACCGGAAGTAGCATATTATCTCCCTTTTTACAGGCAAAAGTATATATAAACCATATATTTTTGGAATCAGTGTAAATAAAGCTATCATATGAGACGGGAAGTGACATTTTCCAAACCGGAAGTTGACAATTATCTCCCTTATTTCAGGCAAAAGTCTATAGAAACCATATGTTTATTGAATCAGTATGAAGAAACCTATGATTGGACGCCAATAGTAGCTTTGAGTAAACCAGAGTTAGCTTCTCATCAATTATTTAGAAAATTGATGTGGAAAGACCTTCAATTGTTCTTTGAACAATTGGTTTATAATTATTATTATTATTATTATTATTTTTTTTTTTTACCGCCAACTTTTGAAATTTTTGTTTCGCAATATGTCGCTTAGATATTTCTCATATTGTATCGTATAGTTTATGCGCTTTTTAAATTTCACCCTGCTAAGCTGAACAATTATCTTTGTAAGAGTTATCTCCCTATTCACTGTTTATCAAGTGTGTGCATCTCCTTCGTAATATAAAAAGATATCGACAAAATTCTTTTTCTAAAGTGTTCGTTACATCCTAAGGAATTTTTGGCTTATTTGGATCGAAGCGATTCGATGAAATTTTATAGGAGTTATCTACCTTTATCAAATAAATTTGTCGTTATGTTTTTGTTACTCATAAACTGTAAGCCGTATAAACCTATAGTCTTTTTATTTAAGGTCCTTGGATCCTAACTTCGAAAATGAGGTCAAGGTCAAAGGTCAAGGTCATGTTCTGAATTTTGTCTTTTGCTTGTTTTTGTCGAGCCTGCGACTTTTGTCGCAGAAAGCTCGACATAGGGATAGCGATCCGGCGGCGGCGGCGGCGGCGGCTACGGCGGCGGCTACGGCGGCGGCGTTAGCTAACTTCTTAAAAGCTTTATATTTTAGAAGGTGGAAGGTCTGGAGGCTTCATACTTTGTATATGGATGCCTCATGTTACGAAGTTTCCGTCAGTCACATGTCCAATGTCCTTGACCTCATTTTCATGGTTCAGTGACTACTTGAAAAAAAAGTTAAGATTTTTTGTAATGTTAGATTCTCTCTTATTATAAGTAATAAGATAACTATATTTGGTATGTGCGTACCTTGCAAGGTCCTCATGCCCGTCAGACAGTTTTCACTTGACCTCGACCTCATTTCATGGATCAGTGAACAAGGTTAAGTTTTGGTGGTCAAGTCCATATCTCAGATACTATAAGCAATAGGTCTAGTATATTCGGTGTATGGAAGGACTGTAAGGTGTACATGTCCAACTGGCAGGTGTCATCTGACCTTGACCTCATTTTCATGGTTCAGTGGTTATAGTTAAGTTTTTGTGTTTTGGTCTGTTTTTCTTATACTGTATGCCATAGGTCTACTATATTTGGTGTATGGAATGATTGTAAGGTGTACATGTCTAGCGGGCAGGTGTCATCTGACCTTGACCTTATTTTCATGGTTCAGTGGTCAAAGTTAAGTTTTTGAGTTTTGGTCTTTTTTTCTAATACTATGTGCAATAGTTCAACTATATTTGGTATGTGCGTACCTTGCAAGGTCCTCATGCCCGTCAGACAGTTTTCACTTGACCTCGACCTCATTTCATGGATCAATGAACAAGGTTAAGTTTTGGTGGTCAAGTCCATATCTCAGATACTATAAGCAATAGGTCTAGTATATTTGGAGTATGGAAGGACTGTAAGGTGTACATGTCCAACTGGCAGGTGTCATCTGACCTTGACCTCATTTTCATGGTTCAGTGGTTATAGTTAAGTTTTTGTGTTTTGGTCTGTTTTTCTTATACTATATGCAATAGTTCAACTATATTTGGTGTATGGAAATATTTTATGATCTATTTGGCAGTCACGCAGGTTTTATTTGACCTTGACCTCATTTTCAAGGTTCATTGCTCAGTGTTAAGTTTTTGTGTTTTGGTCTGTTTTTCTTAAACTATAAGCAATAGGTCAACTCTATTTGTTGTATGGAAGAATTGTTAGCTGTACATGCCTGCCTAGCATGGTTCATCTGACCTTGACCTCATTTTCATGGTTCATTGGTCAATGTTTAGTTTACTTGGTTAATGTTAAGTTTATGTGACAGTTGTAATAAAGCTTTATATTTAGGACTATCAACATAATATCAATGATTAGTAAAGAAGGCGAGACATTTCAGCGTGTGCACTCTTGTTGCATTTTCTCCTATATTTTTAATGTTATATATTAAAGAACAAGTGCAAAATGTTTGTTATATTGTGATGAAGATATGATACGTTTGGTCTGAGACAATCCAGCGACATCTTATTGGAGTTATTGCCCCTGAAATGTTTTTTTTAAGGTAAATTGATAATTACTTCATATTGGTACATGATAAAGCCATAAGATCTTTTGCAAATGTTGGGTGACATATGACCTTGAAAAATGTCAACCGGAAGTGACCTTGAGTGAACCGGAAGTAGTCATTTGTGCACTTATTTCATGTAGAAGTACATAAAAACCATATATTTTTTGAATGTCATACATTTATCTATCATTTGAGACCGAAAGTGATATTTTATAAACCGGAAGTAGCATATTATCTCATTTTTACAGGCAAAAGTATATATAAACCATATATTTTTAGAATCAGTGTAAATAAAGCTATCATATGAGACCGAAAGTGACATTTTCTAAACCGGAAGTAGCCAATTATCTCCTTTTTTACAGGCAAAAGTATATATAAACCATATATTTTTGGAATCAGTGTAAATAAATCTATCATATGAGACCGGAAGTGACATTTTCTAAACCGGATGTTGACAATTATCTCCCTTATTTCAGGCAAAAGTCTATAGAAACCATGTTTATTGAATCAGTATGAAGAAACCTATGATTGGACGCCAAAAGTAGCTTTGAGTAAACCAGAATTATCTTCTCATCAATTATTTAGAAAATTTATGTGGAAAGACCTTCAATTGTTCTTTGAACAATTGGTTTTTAATTATTATTATTATTATTTTTTTTTTTTTTTTTTTCCGCCAACTTTTGAAATTTTTGTTTCGCAATATGTCGCTTAGATATTTCTCATATTGTATCGTATAGTTTATGCGCTTTTAAATTTCACCCTGCTTAGACGAACAATTTTCTTTGTAAGAGTTATCTCCCTATTCACTGTTTATCAAGTGTGTGCATCTCCTTCGTAACAAAAAAAGATATCGACAAAATTCTTTTTCTAAATTGTTCGTTACATCCTCAGAAATTTTTGGCTAATTTGGATCGAAGCGATTAGATGAAATTTTATAGGAGTTATCTACCTTTATGAAATAAATTTGTCTTTATGTTTTTGTTACTCATAAACTGTAAGCCGTATAAACCTATAGTCTTTTTATTTAAGGTCCTTGGATCCTAACTTCGAAAATGAGGTCAAGGTCAAAGGTCAAGGTCATGTTCTGAATTTTGTCTTTTGCTTGTTTTTAGCATTTTCTCCGATATTTTTAATGTTATATATTAAAGAACAAGTGCAAAATGTTTGTTATATTGTGATGAAGATATGATACATTTGGTCTGAGACAATCCAGCAACATCTTATTGGAGTTATTGCCCCTGCAATGTTTTATTTTAAGGTAAATTGATTATTACTTCATATTGGTACATGATAAAGCCATAAGATCTTTGCAAAATGTTGGGTGACATATGACCTTGAAAAATGTCAACCGGAAGTGACCTTGAATGAACCGGAAGTAGTCATTTTTGCACTTATTTCATGTAGAAGTACATAGAAACCATATATTTTTTGAATGGTCATACATTAATCTATCAGTTGAGACCGGAAGTGATATTTTATAAACCGAAAGTAGCATATTATCTCCCTTATTACAGGCATAAGTATATATAAACCATATATTTTTGGAATCAGGGTAAATAAAGCTATCATATGAGACCGGAAGTGACATTTTCTAAACCGGAAGTAGCATATTATCTCCCTTATTACAGGCATAAATATATATAAACCATATATTTTTGGAATCAGGGTAAATAAATCTTTCATATGAGACCGGAAGTGACATTTTCTAAACCGGAAGTAGCCAATTATCTCCCTTTTTACAGGCAAAAGTATATATAAACCATATATTTTTGGAATCAGTGTAAATAAATCTATCATATGAGACCGGAAGTGACATTTTCTAAACCGGAAGTAGCCAATTATCTCCCTTTTTAAAGGCAAAAGTATATATAAACCATATATTTTTGGTATCAGTGTAAATAAATCTATCATATGAAACCGGAAGTGAAATTTCTAAACCGGAAGTAGCCAATTATCTCTTTTAACAGACAAAAGTATATATAAACCATATATTTTTGGAATCCGTGTAAATAAAGCTATCATATTAGACCTGAAGTGGCATTTTCTAAACTGGAAGTTGACAATTATCTCCCTTATTTCAGGAAAAAGTCTATAGAAACCATATGTTTATTGAATCAGTATGAAGAAAACTATGATTGGACGCCAATAGTAGCTTTGAGTAAACCAGAATTAGCTTCTCGTCAATTATTTAGAAAATTTATGTGGAAAGACCTTCAATTGTTCTTTGAACAATTGGTTTTTAATTATTTTTTTTTTTTAGCCAAATTTTGTTCTTGCGATAAATGTTTGTTTCGCAATATGTCGCTTAGATATTTCTCATATTGTATCGTATAGTTTATGCACTTTTAAATTTCACCCTACTTAGCCGAACCATTTTCTTTGTAAGAGTTATCTCCCTATTTACTGTTTATCAAGTGTGTGCATCGCCTTCGTAACAAAAAAAGATATTGACAAAATTCTTTTTCTAAATTGTTCGTTACATCCTCAGGAATTTTTGGCTAATTTGGATCGAAGCGATTCGATGAAATTTTATAGGAGTTATCTACCTTTACCAAAAAAATTTGTCGGTATGTATTTTTAACTCATAAACCGTTAACCGTATAACCCTACAATGTTTTTATTTGAGACCCATAGGACCTAACTTCGAAAATGAGGTCAAGGTCAAAGGTCAAGGTCATGTTCTGAATTTTGTCTTTTGCTTGTTTTTGCATTTTCTCCAATATTTTTAATGTTATATATTAAAGAACAAGTGCAAAATGTTTGTTTTATTGTGATGAAGATATGATTTATTTGGTCTGAGACAATCCAGCGACTTCTTATTGGAGTTATTGCCCCTGAAATGTTTTATTTTAAGGTAAATTGATTATTACTACATATTGGTACATGATAAAGCCATAAGTTCTTTTGCAAAATGTTGGGTGACATGACCTTGAAAAATGTCAACCGGAAGTGACCTTGGGTGAAGCGGAAGTAGTCATTTTTGCACTTATTTCATGTAGAAGTACATAGAAACCATATATTTTTTGAATGGTCATACATTGATCTATCATTTGAGACCGGAAGTGATATTTTATATACCGGAAGTAGCATATTATCTCCCTTATTACAGGCATAAGTATATATAAACCATATATTTTTTGAATCAGTGTAAATAAAGCTATCATATGAGACCGAAAATGACCTTTTCTAAACCGGAAGTAGCCAATTATCTCCCTTTTTAAAGGCAAAAGTATATATAAACAATATATTTTTGGAATCAGTGCAAATAAATCTATCATATGAGACCGGAAGTGACATTTTCTAAACCGGAAGTTGACAATTATCTCCCTTCTTTCAGGCAAAAGTCTAAAGAAACCATATGTTTATCGAAACAGTATGAAGAAACCTATTAGACGCCAATAGTAGCTTTGTGTAAACCAAAATTAGCTTCTCTTCAATTATTTAGAAAATTGATGTGGAAAGACCTTCAATTGTTCTTTGAACACTTGGTTTTTAATTATTATTATTTTTTTTTTCTTCCGCCAAATTTTGTTCTTGCGATAAATGTTTGTTTCGCAATATGTCGCTTAGATATTTCTTACATTGTATCGTACAGTGTATGCGCTTTTAAATTTCACCCTGCTAAGCCGAACAATTATCTTTGTAAGAGTTATCTCCCTATTCACTGTTTATCAAGTGTGTGCATCTCCTTCGTAACAAAAAAAGATATCGACAAAATTCTTTTTCTAAATTGTTCGTTACATCCTCAGGAATTTTTGGCTAATTTGGATCGAAGCGATTCGATGAAATTTTATAGGAGTTATCTACCTTTATGAAATAAATTTGTCGTTATGTTTTTGTTACTCATAAACTGTAAGCCGTATAAACCTATAGTCTTTTTATTTAAGGTCCTTAGATCCTAACTTCGAAAATGAGGTCAAGGTCAAAGGTCAAGGTCATGTTCTGAATTTTGTCTTTTGCTTGTTTTTGCATTTTCTCCGATATTTTTAATGTTATATATTAAAGAACAAGTGCAAAATGTTTGTTATATTGTGATGAAGATATGATACATTTGGTCTGAGACAATCCAGCAACATCTTATTGGAGTTATTGCCCCTGCAATGTTTTATTTTAAGGTACTGTAAATTCAGAAATTATTGCGTGCATTTATTATTGCGATTTTGTCATTTTAGACTAAAATGCGATTTTAATTTTTGCGATATTGAGAAAAATCGTGTTAAATTCATTTTAAAAATTTCAAAATGCGAGTTTAAATTATTGCGATTATAACCCTGTCGCATTTTTCGCAATAATAAAAACATCGCAATAATTTCTGAATTTACAGTAAATTGATTATTACTTCATATTGGTACATGATAAAGCCATAAGATCTTTTGCAAAATGTTGGGTGACATATGACCTTGAAAAATGTCAACCTGAAGTGACCTTGAATGAACCGGAAGTAGTCATTTTTGCACTTATTTCATGTAGAAGTACATAGAAACCATATATTTTTTGAATGGTCATACATTCATCTATCAGTTGAGACCGGAAGTGATATTTTATAAACCGGAAGTAGCATATTATCTCCCTTATTACAGGCATAAGTATATATAAACCATATATTTTTGGAATCAGGGTAAATAAATCTTTCATATAAGACCGGAAGTGACATTTTCTAAACCGGAAGTAGCCAATTATCTCCCTTTTTACAGGCAAAAGTATATATAAACCATATATTTTTGGAATCAGTGTAAATAAAGCTATCATATGAGACCGGAAGTGACATTTTCTAAACCGGAAGTTGACAATTATCTCCCTTTATCAGGCAAAAGTTTACAGGAACCATATGTTTATTGAATAAGTATGAAGAAACCTATGATTGGACGCCAAAAGTAGCTTTGAGTAAACAAGAATTAGCTTCTCATCAATTATTTAGAAAATTGATGTGGAAAGACCTTCAATTGTTCTTTGAACAATTGGTTTTTAATTATTATTATTATTATTATTATTTTTTTTTCTTCCGTCAAATTTTGTTCTTGCGATAAATATTTGTTTCGCAATATGTCGCTTAGATATTTCTCATATTGTTTCGTATAGTTTATGCGCTTTTAAATTTTACCCTGCTAAGCCGAACAATTATCTTTGTAAGAGTTATCTCCCTATTCACTGTTTATCAAGTGTGTGCATCTCCTTCGTAACAAAAAAAGATATCGACAAAATTCTTTTTCTTAATTGTTCGTTACATCCTCAGGAATTTTTGGCTAATTTGGATGGAAGCGATTAGATGAAATTTTATAGGAGTTATCTACCTTTACCAAAAAAATTTGTCGGTATGGTTTTTTATCTCATAAACCTTTAACTGTATAACCCTGGAATGTTTTTATATGAGGCCCCTAGGTCCCAACTTAGAAAATGAAGTCAAGGTCAAAGGTCAAGGTCAAGTTCTAAATTTTGACTTTTCCTTGTTTTTGCATTTTCTCAAACCTTTTTAAAGATATATATAAAAGAACAAGTGCAAAATGTTTGCTTTATTGTAATGAAGATATGATACATTTGGTCTGAGACAATCAAGCGACATCTTATTGGAGTTATTGCCCCTGAAATGTTTTATTTTAAGGTAAATTGATTATTACTTCATATTGGTACATGATAAAGCCATAAGAAATTTTGCAAAATGTTGGGTGACATATGACCTTGAAAAATGATAACCGGAAGTGACATTGAGTGAACCGGAAGTGGTCATTTTTGCACTTATTTCATGTAGAAGTACATAGAAACCATATATTTTTTGAATGGTCATACATTAATCTATCATTTGAGACCGGAAATGATATTTTATAAACCGGAAGTACCATATTATCTCCATTATTACAGGCATAAGTATATATAAACCATATATTTTTTGAATCAGTGTAAATAAAGCTATCATATGAGACCGAAAGTGACATTTTCTAAACCGGAAGTAGCCAATTATCTCCCTTTTTACAGGCAAAAGTATATATAAACCATATATTTTTGGAATCAGTGTAAATAAATATATCATATGAGACCGGAAGTGACATTTTCTAAACCGGAAGTAGCCAATTATCTTCCTTTTTACAGGCAAAAGTATATATAAACCATATATTTTTGGAATCAGTGTAATTAAAGCTATCATATGAGACCGGAAGTGTTATTTTCTAAACCGGAAGTTGACAATTATCTCCCTTATTTCAGGCAAAAGTCTATAGAAACCATATGTTTATTGAATCAGTATGAAGAAACCTATGATTGGACGCCAATAGTAGCTTTGAGTAAACCAGAATTAGCTTCTCATCAATTATTTAGAAAATTGATGTGGAAAGACCTTCAATTGTTCTTTGAACAATTGGTTTTTAATTATTATTACTATTATTATTTTTTTCTTCCTTCTAATTTTGTTCTCACGTAAAATTTTTGTTTCGCAAGATCGTATATAATATCATACAGTTTATGCGCTTTTTATTTTCACCCATTCTAAGCCGAACAATTTTCTTTGTAGGAGTTATCTCCCCAAACACTGTTTTCCTTGTTACTGCATCTCCTCCGTAACCGTAAAAGAAAGCGGCAAATTTATTTTACCAAATTGCTCGTTATATCCTCAGAATGTTTTGTCCAATTTTGACCGAGGCGGTACGTAAACTCCATATGAGAGTTATTTCCCCTTCTGTATTTGACATAAGGGATATATAAATGTATAGCATGAATGGTAAGTGATAGAGACCTAAGGTATATTGATTTGAGTTCCTTGGTTCATTTAAATGAAAAAAAGGTCAAGGTCATATTCTAAATTTTGACTTTTCCTTGTTAATTGATCTCCTCTGTCACTTTTAAAGATACAAATTAAAAGACAAGTGCAAAATGTTTGCCTAATTGTGATTAAGATATGATACATTTGGTCTGAAACAATCCAATGACATCTTATAGGAGATATTGTCCCTGAAATGATTCAATTTAAGGTTAATTGATTATTACTCCAACTTGTTACATGATAAAGCCATAGGGTCTTTTGCAAACTGTTGGTTGACCTATGACCTTGAAAAATGTCAACCGGAAGTGACCTTGAGTGAACCGGAAGTAGTATTTTTTGCACTTATTTCATGGAAAAGTACCTAGAAACCATATATTTTTTGAATGACCATAGGTTAACATATCTTTTGAGACCGGAAGTAACATTTTATAAACCGGAAGTAGCATATTATCTTCCTTATTACAGGCATAAGTATATACAAACTATATATTTTTGGAATCAGTGTGAATAAAGGTATCATATGAGACCGGAAGTGACATTTTCTAAACCGGAAGTAGCTAATTATCTCCCTTTTTACATGCAAAAGTATATATAAACCATATATTTTTGGAATCAGTATAAATAAAGCTATCATATGAGACCGGAAGTGACATTTTCTAAACCGGAAGTTGGCAATTATCTCCCTTATTTCAGGCAAAAGTATATAGAAACCATATATTAATTGAATCAGTATGAAGAAACCAAAGCTTGGACGCCAATAGTAATTTTGAGTAAACTGGATGTAGCTTCTCATCAATAATTTAGAACATTGATGTGGAAAGACCTTCAATTGTTCTCTGAACAATTGGTTTTTAATTATTATTGTGTTTTTTATTTCTTTTGAATATATATGATAACTTGAATACAAGCCTGTGTAATTATATATAATAAATATTAGTCATCCATAATTGATTTAATTACTTTCACTTAGGTGTCAATTTGTTATACTTCATCAGTCGTTCTTGATCTGTATCTATGACAGATTTAATCTGTACCGTTATACACATTTAAATCTTAAACAGCTGGAGAAAGGTCATCGCTCGTTCAAATCTTTATCAATAGAAACACGGCTCATAAACACATATGAATTAAGCACACATACATTTAAAATTTACAAAATGAATAGTTACCTTTCACGAAGTTTTTGTTAATAACAGTTTATTTCGATATTTTTAAAAACATCTATAAATGCAACTTATTTCATTTATTTGTTTCAATTCAATGCATTTTATTTTAAGTTTTCATATCATTTTCCCTATTACTCAATTCCATTTCAATAACATTTTTATTGAAAAAAGGGATATTTTAAGGTGCAAAATAATTTTTACCTTTAAACTACTTTTTCCTTACTAATCAAATTTTGTTCTAAAACAATACTCATTCACTAAAACAACATCTATTCAATTGATTTTGTTTGCATTTGTTGTCGATGAATAGATATTTTATAAAATGTAAGCATTCCAGGACGGTGCATTACATTTGCGCGCAGCTTTTGATTACATTTCGGCACACATTTATTTTACAGGTAAAACAGGTAAATGCAGGTGGATTAGGTAGATTAATTTGATAGTTCTAGCAGTTAAGGCGGTTGTCGTTTTTTCTTTACAACCGCACAGATAATCTGCCTTTCAAGTTTTCACGAATCGGACTCGTGTGTATGTTCACATGCAGCTACCACTTAGAATGGATGCTGAATTTTCATTAGTTTTTATCCTGCCTTTGCAATTCTTTACATTGCATCGCCATGAAATATCCCCTGACTTCAGTGTTCTGTCGATACGGAAAGTAAATCCATCGTACACTTAAGAGTTTTCCCCGATTTGTTTCTGACAAACGAAACTCCATGTTTGTGCCTTGACGCAACTTTCATACTGACTTAAATTATTTATGAATTTAACCGCGATCCCTATTCGGTAAAATTAGGAAACTATTCACTCTGAAATATTCGCAATTAAGTTATATGTATGCCTTTGTAAAATTCAATACGAAAAATATATAATTTAAATTAACAATTTTTTTTCAAAATAAGTAATTTATGGTCATATTTATTATGACAATTAATAATTTATAGTCATATTAATTATGCATTACCTTTATTTTTTTACCTGTGTTAGTAGATATAGGAAGATGTGGTATGAGTGCCAATGAGACAACTCTCCATCCAAGTTACAATTTATAAAAGTTAACTGTTAAATGAATGCGCGCAAATGTAATCAAAAGCTGCGCGCAAACGTAAAGAAAAAATTAATCCCCAAATGCGCGCAAATGTAATGCACCCTTTCAGGAAGACTCCGTTAAATTGGTACGCTTGGTCGTATATCACATGATACAAAAAATATTTTATCTAAATATTATTTAAGGAAACAATTCATTTGGTTATTTATTTTAGTACCGGACAGATATATATTCTACAAATCGCAGGTAAGTACGCCTATCTGAAAGTTTGGTTATATTTTTTTAAATTATATTTTTGTCCAAGGAGACGGAAAGTCAATACAATGCAATGTAGTAAACAATCGGAATTACATTAAATAATGCCATTTACATCAGAAAGATATAGTCAAGATTGGCAATTAAAATATTAAATTCTAAATTCTATATCATAATGACGCAAAACAAAGTTCATGCCGAAATGATTTATAACAAGATTTGGAAGAATTAACAAGGGTTTATTACGGATTTTTTTGCAGTTATCAATTTTATTATCAATGACGACGTCGTCTTTAACAATAAATGGATACATTCTAGTAAGACTCTATTGTCTTATTATTTTTGAACTGAATCTTTTTGTACATCAGTTGCAAGTCTAGTGACGGAGCTAATTTTTGCTGAAGTGTGAATCGCTTCATAAATCAACTAATCCATTTTGCCTTGACATTTTGGAATGTTGGGTAATTATTTCTTGAATATTTATGATTTCGGTTAAATTGTGTCCTTTTTTTTTTAACTAAATCTACTGCAAAAATATAGTACGTTCATATTCATTCCTTGAAGAAATATTAGTGCAATATACCATAATTAAACAATTTTGTCAAAAATCCTTTATTTCAATATTTGTTTTTTCCTGCCGGAGGTCGGTAGTTCTCTTGGGCATTCCGGCTTCCTCCGCCAATAAAAACTGGCCGCCACGAAATAGCCAATAGTGATGAAAGTGGCGCCAAACACCAATCAATCAATCAATCAATCAATATTTGTTATAACTTTTGTCTCAGATATGCCTCTGGTAAAATATATCGAGTTAGTATTATTTCTTTAATGTCTTGTTATATAGTGTAACATTCATTTCTTACGAAACATTTAATATGGAAGATCGAGAGACATGCAGTTCTCCCGACAAATTCTATTTTTTCATATGCTTGTAGGCTGTAGCACATATCTATCTTTATATCCAAACGTTGATGCATTATATATAATATTTTCAAAAATGAAAAGTGCATTGTATTATAAACTTAACAAAACAAAGCAAAAACATATAGTGATAAGAAACTAACAGTTTTCTTAAATTGTAATGTTTTGCCAAAAGGATCAGGACGAAATTTTTCTGAAACCAAAATTCAAATGTGTTCCACATTTCAATTATTGTTCTACCGTTTGGTCAGGTGCAAAAAATGTTGCTTATATTGATAGAATTTTCAAGCTTGAAAAAATTGCAGCACGAATTATTCTAAATAAGCGTAATGATACATGTATGACATCGTTAAACATACTTTTTGGAGAGCTGCGATGGATGTCAATTTCAGATTATTTTGTACATAGAAAAGTGATTTAAGTTCTTTAAGTAATTTTAGTTCTTAAATTCTTCACCAAATGACTCAGAAATATCTCAATGTATTTAGATATGTGCATCATGTTATTTCTAGAACAACCAGGCAAAGTACTTGTAATATGCTTTTTGTTCAAACAATTAAAATTGAATACTATAAACGCTCCTTGTTGATATCTGGAAGTATTTTATGGAACAATTTGTCTATTAATTTAAAAAAAAAAGAAGATCAAAATATTTGTATCGATATTGTATTATTTATTTCGACTTAGAACATCGTAACTTTTAGGACTATCCTAAGACCACCTATTAATAGATCCTAACTTTAGGACCAAATTTAGGGCATATCTTACATTAGGAGATTTTCGTTAGCCTAGACTGGTACCCGACCGTTATTTAACAGGTTTGACAATACCGAATGCATACTGAATGTTTTACTGAGGGAACCTACCTACGTTAACCTGACTTAGGACTAAGACGTGTCTTAAGACCATCATAAGACACTTCCTAGTCCTAAGACAGCTAGCTTCATTGACACGGCCCCTAGGTCTTTAATTGACGAAGTTATTATTTGAAATGACCACATTATTCATTTAGTAAATTCATTTGGTAGATTTGAACAGGTTATTTATATAATTTATTTTCTCCATTATAACATTACATTTGTCTAAACTTCAGTGTTGGAAATGATTAAAAAAGAACAGTTTTGAATATTTGATAAGTCATTTAAGGTGGCGACCAATTTTATTTTCAGTTGAAAAGATTGAAAATGCCATTTAATATTTACCTACAAAGATCTTAAAGTTG